ATTATAAGAAGATTGTAAGGGCGGCATGAGAATTCTCCAAAGCATGCATACTATCCACAGAGGCACGAAGATCCTCCTGTGCCTTAGTCAAATTCTGAACTAACTCCCCGGCATAAACTTCTTTTTGGTTCAAAAGATCCTTCAATGCCCTGATTTCTTCACTGGCCTTGGATAATTGTTCGGAAAATGAAGTCTCAAGACGTTCTCTTTCTTTTTCCCCCTGATTCAACGAAGCCTTGATGACCCCCAACTCGGAAGTGAGTGCTCGAACCTGTTGTTCTAAGGCACTCTTGTTCTCTTGTAAATCCTCCATGTCGAGTTGAACACTGCCAAACTGTTCCTTCCAGTTGTTTGCCTCAAACTGAGAATCACGTGCTACCTTCTCCAAGAGGAAAATTCTGCTCATCAGCTCAGTGCCAATAAGATTGGCCTGCAAATAAAAGAGAAGTGAAAATCCCAGAGTCGAAAATTTTTATAGAATGGAGAAAAATAGGAAAGAAGAATACCTTTAAAGTGGCATGCACTATGTCATTCATGAGGGTCAGGTTGCTGTGGCTTTCAAGTTTTGTTTTTTCAATGGGGCCAATCAAAGGCTCGAGCCAAATATCAAACTGACCAGACTTTCTCAAGAGGCTGTTGTTAGCAGGAACTTCAATGGTTACGCTCCTCATAGTAGTACTCTTACTTGAAGAGCCCACCTCCGTATGGTGAACAATAGATGGAGGAACAGACAAAGGAGGAGCGATAGAAGGAGGAACAGAAGCAACAGTTGATGAAGGTAAAGGAGCAATCATAGGTACGGGAGATGAAGAAGAAGATAAGGGAATTTCATCTAAAATAGGTCCTAAGTTTTCACTACCAAAACCACTAGCAAAAAGTTGATCGATAGACTCACGAGCGTCGTGAGGAGAGACGTCATCATCAGGAATGATAACTGGAGTAATAACAGACTTGGAAGGAGATAGATAAGGGGAAACTTCAGCCTCACCATCAGAGACGATACGTCTCCGGGCTTGAGGCCTCATCACCAGGGAACCTTCATCTTCCTCCTCTGAATATTCTTCTTCAGTTTCAGTAGCTTTTCTTTTTGAAGAACCCAAGAATACATCTTGGGCTGAAGAGGTGCGAGTACTCAAAGAGTCACGAGCAGCTATGATCGACTCTGCGGTGACCCCATGAATAGCAAATCCTGATAAAAAGAAGGATAAAAGTTAGAACAAAGAAGATATTTAGATACATACAAGGAAAAATAGAAACCCTTACCATGAGTTTTTACTTTCCAACCATAACGGCTGGAAAGGTTTTTCCACGACCTACCCTCCATTGGAGCGGCCTTCAACAATTTTCCTACCCAACCACGAAAGTTGGGCACGGTTTCCATGACACCCATGGTTGCTGAGAAAGGAAAAAGAAGCGACATTAGGAAAGGTGATAAAACCTGAAAGGGAAAGGCACGAGGAAGATTTAATACTTACGTGCAAAGTTCCACTTCTCTGGGAAGGGAATGTTATTTTCATCCACTAAACCAGCAGTGGGGGCAGCAACAAACCGGGCATACCAGCCACGGTCTTTATCGTCCTCAGGGCTCACTAAAACCCTTTTGCTCCTGGCTGCTAGGGTAAAAACGCCATTGCGAAAAAGCCTAGGGGAATAGAGATGAATTAGGTGGGAAAAGTAAATTCGGCATCTGCCAAGTTAGTGAGGTGCCTTAAGCAGGCGACAGCCCTCCAAATGATTGGGCCAATTTGACCCAAGCTGACATTAAAAAAGCGACAAAAATCCAGAATAACTGGATCAATGGCTGGTTTAAACCCTAAAGTAAAGGGATACGTATAAACAAAAGAAAATCCAATAATGTAGGAGGTGATTCTCTGATTTGGATTAGGAATGATGGTAGGGAAATCATCACTCCAATGACAATCTCTACGAACTATGGGGATTAAAGGGTCAGTAATTTGAGAAGGATAAGTATCAACTCGATTTAAAGAGGCGACTTGAGTTTTGAGAGATTCCCTGTCATGGTAAAAAGATAAGTGCGTTGGAACTATTTCTTCCACTAAAGGTTCGCGTAAGGGTTCAGAGGATTCTTTGTTTCTGGAAGAAAACCTTTGAGAATGGGAACCTCCAGTTCTAGAAGAAGGGACAGAACTAGAAGAAGGTGTGAGTGAACTGCCACCACGGACAGATCCAAAACTACAGAGTCTACCACCACCACCTCTTCTATGCCTAACGGGAGCATTGGGAAAGCTGTCTAAAATAGGAGTTCTTCTAGGGTTAGGGTTCGGAGAAGCCATGACAAAGGAGATTGAAGTGAAGAAGAAGTGAATAAAAGTTTTGAAAAATTAAAGTATTCAATACGCTTTAAATGGTAGAAGACAAAGACGGAAGTTATATTTATACCGATGAATGACCGTCAGAAGGAATGACTATAGTGATGGGAAGTCCATAATAATGATAACTGACACTTCGTGGACAGGGAAGCCGAAAAGAAAGCCTAAAGAAAGTGTTGTACAATTGTATGACCAATAAGAAGATGACACGTGTTTAGCGCATTAAATGAAAGTAATAAGTGAAGCGTCAAACTCTGTCAGAGCATAAATGGTGACAAAAATTCTCCCTTAAATGAATTCCACTTCCCAAATATTCAAACTGATGAATAAATGGAAAGTGGGGGGACTATCTGTATTGGGAAAAATTATATTTATGTATATGGTGACGTGTCATGACATATAGACTGGTCAAACAGTCAAAGAAATAAGGATGGTTAACAGATACGAGCAACAACAGATATGAGTAAATTAAATGGAGGGGGTGCGAGCAGTCATACAAGTAATTCAACGCTCGTACCTATTCAAGACATTTGAAACTCAAAGATAGTGAAGAATCAAAGGAATGAATCTAACAGCAAAAAGGAGCCCCGATACAGCATTTAATGAGTATTAATTATTGGAAACGTTAGAGAATATGTATTTAATGTATATGATTGCATAACGTAACATTTAAAGTCATTAATTGCCCATAATAGCATTATTATGACAAAGGTAAGGCTCGTATCCCAAAAGAGCTATAAAAAAGGAAGAAACAAACAATTGTAGGGGGGAGGTGACTATTGGAATATACTTTGATTTACCAGCTTTCATATTTGGTTACTCTAAAATTTCTTTCTTTATTTACTTTTTCGATTATCAGTAACCCGATTCTTCTAAATTCTAGCTTTGACTAAAATTCTATTTTTTGGTTAAACATGTCTAGTGGTGATCAAAGCAACAGTCAATTAGGTGAAAAGGATGATAGTATATAACGATGAGACTTATGTCCTATATCTTTTTGATTTGAACAATTACGAGTTATTAATTAAGCTCTTATAGTAATAAAATCGTGTATTGGTATGTCTGCTTGTCTAGTGGCGGTAACAACAACAGCCAAGGTAAAAAGGATGATGTAGTGAAATATGCATCAAACCTACAACTTTTTTTTGGTTGCATACCGTTGACAGGCGTCAACAATCCAAACTAATGAGATTCAACTCGTGACACTACCGTTTGAATGATGACATCTTAATCATTAGTAGTTCTCCTGAAAATTCTCAAATTGTTACCGCCAATGAAAATGCAACAAAATTTCACGGCATACCACTTTTATTTGGAGTAATATTTGATGATTTCCTTCTTATGTATGTAAACACCATATTAATTCTTGAGAAAATGATATTGTATAGCCGTTGTAAAAATAATAGTCGAAAAAATGTATAAAATTTATATATTTGTATATATATACATTTTGTGTTATATACAAATTTTATACACTTTTTCGGCTACCAGATGTAAATACCCCCTTAATTCTTTAGTTTCATTTTATCTTTTTCATGCCGTAAAGGCGATATTTTAGGCGAATTTCACATCGATAAAAAAGTGGGTATATAAGTAGACATGCCTTAGACTCAAGTGGCGCGTTTTGAAGCCGTGCGGGGCTAAGCCCATATCAGACATTATCACTAGTGGGTCGGGCTGTTACATATGGTATCAGAGTCACTCCGCGTGCAACCTTGAACGGCGAGGACGCTGAGTCCCTAAGAGGGGGTGTATGCGATATCCTAGGCGAATCCCACATCGACGAAACACGGGAGAGATGCTGGGTACGTATGTAAATAGACATGCCTTAAACTCAAGTGACGTGTTTTAAAGTCGTGCGAACCTAGGCCCATAGCGGACAATATCACTAGTGGGTCGGACTGTTATACAGTTAAAAAAAGAAAAGAAAAGAGGATAGTACGAGCATAATGATTAGTGAATAATGATATGGACAAAGGGAATCTATTGCCCATTCAATAAAGTTCACAAAAAGACATAGTTACGTTGTTATGCAACTTGGCTTGACTCTATAGGTTTTCAGTGAACTTCCATCCCCTATATAAATATAGCATGATGCTCTCTAGCTTCTGAAACCAACAGTCTTCGACCCACAAAAGGCTTAAATATATATCCTCCACCAAATCAAATTAAAAAAAAAAATACCTAGCAAGTATGGATAACGGGAAAATTAAGGAGTTGCCATGCAAATATCACATGAATGGCGGTGATGGTCCCAAGAGCTATGCTAAGAATTCTGAATATCAGGTTCAACTGAATCCATTCAAATCATGTATACTTATGGACAGAATTCCCAAAAATATGTATATAGTTTTTTTTTTTGTTTTTTTTCCACCAAAAAATATGTATATAATTCATCACAATCATTCTGGACATAATGACTCTGAATTCTGGATTCAACTGTATTGATCATGACCAAGAAACCATGCAAATTAATCGTTTGTACATGTTTTTGCAGAAACAACTACTTGGATATTCAAAGAAAGTAATGGATGAATTGATTCAGCAGCAGCTTGATGTGGGATTAAACCCTCATTTTGATGGCTGTAACCCATTTCGCATAGCAGATTTTGGATGTTCTACTGGCCGAAACACCTATCTTGCAGCTCAGAATATTATTGAAGCAGTGGAACAAAAGTATAAATCAAATGAAGAAGATCCTCAAGTACCAGAATTCCTTGTGTTCTTTAATGATTTAGTCCAAAACGATTTCAACACTCTCTTCAATTACATCCATAGCAACAAACCCAACTACTTCGGTGCAGGAGTCCCAGGTATATATATTCATGATCTACTTAGGTTATGTTTTATTTTCATGTAGAATAATAGTGAAAGCCATGAGATATCTGAATATAAACCTATACCCGAGCCAATAGAGTTTAAAACGGCAGTTAATCTAGTTTCTAATAGGTGGACTAGTGGTGAATGAGACATATAACAGATCGACAAATTGAAAACACGTATTGCTATCAATATATACCATATGTTAAACCATGGCGACTTTGCCTTAAATGCAAAATCTTAAGTTTTGAGTGAAAATACATAATTGAGGTTTCTCACAAGATAATTATAGATAAATTTCTATGATAAGCTTAACTGGTACCTTGATAAACTAATTAACATACTATACGTACTACTCCTCCCATCTCAAATTATTATCTATCGTGGTTTCTAAAAATAGTTGTCTCAGATTATTTGTCATTTTAGAAGTTCAAGACAAAAGAAATTATATTTTTCCCGTTTTACCCTTAATAACAATTTTTCTTGAAGATGGAAATAATACATAAATAGAATAAATATTAGTGAAGAGAGATTATATCTTAAAACATAAATAAGGGTAAAATAGTCCAATCCTCCTCCTAACTAATGTTTCTTAAGGGCGTGTAAAAGAGAAACACGACACATAATTTGATTACACTGTCCATTAGCGTATGTATATAACTTAAATGCTTGATTTGTATGTATTATCTACCATGCCTAGGTTCTTTCCATGGACGAGTATTTCCAAAGGCGTTCCTACATTTTGCCCACAGCTCCATGGCACTTCTATACCTGTCAAGAATTCCCGAGGAAGTTAAGGACAGAAACTCAGCAGCGTGGAACAAGGGAAGAATTCATTACAGTTGTAGTGGAGCAGCAAAAGAAGTAGAGGCGGCATATTCAGCTCAGTTCAGAAAAGATATAGAAGCATTTTTGGACGCAAGAGCAGAAGAGCTGATTCCAGGAGGATTAATGGTGATTATAACTCTTGGAATTCTTGATGGGGTGCTTCCTTCTGAGTGTTCCATGGGAGTCAATTTCAGCATTCTTGGATCTTGCCTAGAGGATATGGCCAAAATGGTAACCACCTAATTAACAAATTAATATATCCTCCTCCCCCACTTCGAAAACGAAACATAAAGATAGTTTAAGCTTTGTGCAGGACACGATAAGGTATTATACTTGATAATCTGTTAAAATAGTGAGTAATAATTAGCATGATACCACAAATTAAAATTTACTAATAGTATAAAAGAATTTACACTCAATGTATGTAATTCAAAGTCTTCTTGCACCTGATTAGTGGTCAGTGTGCAATAAAACCACTGGCATTCAAATAAAAATGGTAGGTGATTTCTTCTCATCTACCTAAGCCTAGATGGGCAACGTTATTCAATATGTGTGGTGGAAGATAGCAAATAACCAATGGAATAGTCGAGTCCGGTGTACCGCCGCTATCCAAAAAAAAACTTAGATCCTTCTTTGACATAACTACTGAGTTTAAAACTATTAACTTGAGATGCATACATCCCTATAACAAATCATATATCATTTACTAAGTTTTTTGTCTGTCCCCTCCACGGGTACTTGAAAAAATGATGAATCTTCCATTTCAGGGCATCATATCGGAGGAAAGGTTGGATTCGTTCAACCTCCCATACTATTACACATCACATATGGAACTGGAAACACTGATAAAGGCACATGGATGCTTTGACATCGCAAGGTTTGAGAAGCTACCAACTCCCTTCAGACAAGTTGTACACGATATCCAGACTGTAGTCTTATCTATACGAGTGGTAACAGAGGGACTATTTGAGGAACACTTCGGGAAAGATATCATTGAGGAATTGTTTCAGCGTTATGCTGAAAAAGTTGGTTCACATCCAGTTTTGTACGATGATAAATATCGAACAGAGGCCAGCTACTTTGTGTTTCTCAAGCGCAAAACCAATACATCCAAACCAGGAACCTAGTTTGGTTCTTAGAACTTACCATGTGCCTCGAAACAGTTATGTGAGAAAGAGGCATTTGCAGAACTTTGTGATTGTGCACCTGTTTGTATAAACCAAGGGAGATAATCCCCTGCAGAATTGAAATTTTTATATGGCAATTCCAGCTCTTCTGGAAATTAAAAATAGAAAAATAAACACTGCCACCAGAGAATACTCATGACTGAGCTGAGTATATAACGTGTGGAGAAACTGTGAATAAAGGACATGGAAACCACCATACCGTGATATTGATTTGATTTCTACCAAAGCAGAACCAAATATCCGTTAATCAAATAATGATTAAGTAAATTTCCTGCAAATTTTGGGCACAACTTAAACAGTTGGATAAAGGAGGACTGAGAAATCCTCATTCATCCCAAAACAATGCTACATTCTAGACTTCAAATATAGATGTTCCAAGAGCATTATTCAGCAGGCAGAAAAGGTATTGAAGAGCATCATGGAAAACATGCAATGACCTTCTGAAATCCTGAAACTCATTTCAATCAATTTAGGTGGAATACTATGAGGAAAGAGAAGAATACTAATGCTTAGTCTAGACTAACTCATAAGAATAATAAAGCCGTTCAAAAATCTCCAGTCTCTCTGCCATTTAATGGGCTATCTATCCTAATAGAAGAAACAAAACAAAAAAGAGAAACAGAAACTGCAGCTAAATAATCAACTCGTAGCTGACTCCTTTGCAATCTTCTCAGCCTTAGCAATGACTTCTTCTATACCCCCAACCATGTAAAATGATTGCTCTGATAAGTCATCATATTTCCCGTCCAGGACACCCTGCTCAGAATGAAAATGAAGGTTAACATTATGTACAGAATGAAAATTTCTGCTCAAAGAAAATAACAGCAGGTGATTGTTAAAGTTCAGCAGAAGAATGAAGTACACGTGTTTGTTCCCACAATGGTACTTCATGTGAGTGGTGACTCAGTTACCTGAAAACTTTGGATGCTCTCTTTCAAATCCACATACTTTCCAGGGGCACCAGTAAATACTTCTGCAACATGGAAAGGCTGGCTCAAGAACCTCTGAATTTTACGAGCACGAGCAACAGTTAGTTTGTCATCTTCACTCAGTTCATCCATTCCTAGAATGGCGATAATATCCTGGAGATTCTTGTAGTTCTGGAGAACCTTTTGTACACCTCGTGCAGTATTATAATGATCTTCACCTAGGATATGAGGAGAAAGCATACGGGACGTAGAATCTAAGGGATCCACTGCAGGATAAATACCAAGCTCAGAAATCTGCATTGGAGAAGAGCGACGATGTTAGTAAAATATCATGAAAAGTGTTTTTCTGAAAAATAATTGATAATATAAGAAACTAACCTGCCGAGATAACACGGTTGTAGCATCAAGGTGAGCAAAGGTGGTAGCAGGGGCTGGATCAGTCAAGTCATCAGCAGGCACATAGATAGCTTGGACTGATGTGATAGACCCCTTCTTAGTTGTAGTAATCCTCTCCTGAAGCCCCCCAAGATCTGTCGCTAAAGTTGGCTGGTAACCAACCGCAGAGGGAATACGACCAAGCAAAGCAGACACCTCAGAGTTGGCCTAGAGCAATCCCAGAGACGGAGGGAAAGAATTAGAAATCATTTTACAAATGTTTAAGCAGTTAAAAAGTAAAATATACTCAAACTAAGGTATTTGAAAAGATAGCTCACTTGAGTGAAGCGAAAAATATTATCGATGAAAAGGAGCACATCTTGCCCTTCAGCATCTCGGAAGTGTTCAGCAACTGTCAGTCCAGTGAGCCCAACACGAGCACGAGCACCAGGAGGTTCATTCATTTGACCATATACCAAAGCACATTTGCTTTCACCCTGAGGATAAATATACGTGCAAAATCAGCCAATTGCAAGAAATGTCCGCACTATGTTTTGAAAAGCAAATGTTATCTACAGAGACCTGCTTATCAGCAAGCTTAATAACACCACTCTCAATCATTTCTCTGTACAAATCGTTACCCTCCCGAGTACGTTCACCAACACCAGCAAACACTGAGAAACCACCTGAGGACGAGAAGTGAATATTAAATTAAATTCAATTAAAGAACGAGAATAAATGAAGACTCTCTTTCATTCCTAGTGCAACTAGTAACAAACCATGGGCCTTGGCGACGTTGTTAATAAGCTCCATAATAAGCACGGTCTTTCCAACACCTGCACCACCAAAAAGTCCAATCTTTCCACCTTTTTGATAAGGAGCAAGTAGATCCACCACCTGTCATCAAAAGCAAGTTAAATCATACCCAGAGAGACAATAGACAACAACATGATTTATCCATTCAACAGCAAATGATTTGTATATCGCCTTCCAAAAGCATACACATGCAAATATATACTACTTCATAAATTGCATGTGCTAATCAAATATTTGCTACTCCTGTTTTACTTCCACCAAAAGTATAGAAATGAGGACAGATGCCTTGAAGCTATCACACTGAGATGTGTTCAGTTCCTAATATACAGAAAAGTAGTATCACGTACCTTAATTCCAGTCACAAGGATCTGTTGCTCAGTTGCTTGTTCAACAAAAGATGGAGCTTCACGGTGAATCGGGAGATAATGTTCCGTTTCTGTAGATCCACAACATCTCAATAAAGCAAAGATGAAAAAAGAAAAGACAATAAAAAAAAAAAGAGCTAGTCCCAATCAAGATGAAAATTGAAATAGGAAAATGCAAAATTATTTTTTGTAGTGCCATTAACAGGAAAAAACTGATTTTAGCTAATGGGCAGATTCTTACTTATATCACCCCTTTCATCAATGGCCTCTCCAATGACATTTATAATTCGACCAAGTGTAGCCCTGCCAACAGGCACCTGACATTTCAAAACCAAGATTAGAAGGAGTATGAACGTGCTAATATAAACTTGCAAACATCCTCTTCAGGGTAAAAAGACCCTATCAAATTCTGAAATTAAATAAATGCACAGTGAAACAAAGTGTTTTTTCTTTACATATCGCAAAAGATAACATTTTTACGATCAATTAAGAGACAGTACTTGCAACTTAAGGTAAAAATGGATTCGTTTACGGGTGTATCTTTTACGGGTATATATGTAAATATGGTATGAGTAAGTGTAAAATTTTACCAAATTTAGTGTATTTTGATAAATCCGCAGAAATCATACCCAAATCACATCTATCTGACACGTTTACTTCAAGGATCCTATGTACCGTAATGTAGCATGAGAAATAAACTACAATGTCGATAAAGCTGTACATATATATAGAGCTTAAAGCGAGATACGGAGAATTACAGTAATAGGGGAGCCAGTGTTGAGGACTCTTTGACCACGCACAAGCCCTTCAGTCCCATCCATAGCAATAGTCCTAACCATGTTTTCTCCCAAATGTTGAGCTACCTCCAGCACCAACCTTATATCATTATCCATCACTTCTAACGCCGTCAAAATAGGCGGCAGACCTTCATCGAACCGGACATCCACAACAGCTCCGATCACCTGACATACGCTCCCAATGGCACCGGCGCCGGTGTACTCATCGGTGATCTTACCGCCTGTTTCCTTAATCTTCGGAGGAGGAGTTTTTTTCTGAGGTGCCGGCGTCGCCTTTGCGGCGGCAGAGGTGGCGTAATTGACGGCGCGGTGGAGAAGGTATCCGGTCGGGGAGGGGCGATGGATATGGGTAGTGAGTGAAGGTTTTGAGGAAGAGTGACGTATGGATGAACGGAGCATGGAGGAAAGGAACCTTCGAGAAGCCATGGTTTTGTGAATGTGTATTGAGTGAGGTAATGTGATCAGAGTGACAACCTCACGATACAGCTTAATTTACATTTGCATATGAATGAAGGGAAGTGAATGAATAAAAGAAAGACAGAGAGTTGTGTTTCTGTTTGAAGAAAGAGAACGATATATTCTGCGTCCGACGAGTTCAAACAATGCTGAAGCACCACGTGTTGGGTACCATTGGCTGTTTATTCGCCGCCGTTTTTTCCTTTTTCACTTTTCAGTTTAGCTGCAGAGATGTGTGGACTTTTTTTCTTTTTTCCTTTTTTTCTTTGCCATGGACCATTCAAAAGAATGGATAAAAATCATTTTCTACTTTAATTTTGTCTTAAAAATTGAACTCACTTCCAATTTTGGTACTTCTCTTGCACTAGGATTTCCAATTATCTTTTTTATCATTTTTTTTTTTGCATTATTTTGGTCCAAAATTCTCTTTATCCCTTCGATGGACTTTACATTAGGGGTGTTCGTCGGTCGGTATGGTGCGGTTTTTAGATTTTTCGGTTCGGTATTCTCGGTATTCGGTTTCTTAAAACCCTATACCAATACCGTACCTAATTAAATTCGGTATGGTTCGGTTTTTCTCCTTCCAGTTTCGGTTTATTCGGTAGGGTAACTTCGGTTTATTCCGTTTGCATACTAGCTAGTGCATAGAGCCATACACTCTAATATTCTTTATTAAAGTACTCAAAAATACAAAATTAAAAATGTTTGTTGACAAAAATATTGTCCAAAACTAGCAAATATCGACCCAAAAAGAGAAAATTGTATATAAAAGAATATTTGATCATTAGAGATGTCTTGTTACTTGTTTAGAGTTAATTGATGAACTTTGGGAATAAGGGAAAGTAAAATTTTAGATTTTTTATATCTATGTTATAATTGATAATATGTATTTTGTGTAATATAATATATATTTCGGTACGGTATCGGTATTTCGGTATTTTATCTTAAAATACCAAATACTATACCTAATACCCATTTTTTAAAAACTTAAACCAAATACCAAAATACCGTATACTAAATACCAAAATTTTCGATTTCGGTACGGTAATTCGGTATTTACCAAATTATGCCCAGCCCTACTTTACATATTCTCATCCCGTTACAAGAGTAAGCAACACATCTTATCCTCCTCTTTTTTCTCTTAACAACCGTAGCGTCGGACCCAACTTAGAGATACAATTTCATTGACCACTAGGCTATGCCTTTAGATGCATTTTTTCTAATTTGTTAAATATACATATATGCTTTAGATGATCACTATTTGTCTTCTTTCGCTCCTTTCTAAAAACAAATAATATCTTTTTCTTTTTATAATTTGCATGTAGAGTTATTTCGAGTTGCATCGTATACTGAAGTCTCTAGGATGCTCTTTATTTTGAATGTATTTCTTATATATTTATCCAGTTGTATATATCGAACTTTAGGTTGAACATTTTGTGTTATTCTATAAATTTGTATTTTTGTTC